ATAAATAAACAAAAAAATAAAATAAAATAATAACAATAATTTAAAAAAAACACCAAGGCGCACGGAACGCTGTTACCTTCCCACCGAAGTGGTACCTATTGATCTACTTGCAATTTCTTGCTTTCGAACTGCTAGGTTGGCAGGAGCTGGAACTAGAGACGGGAGCTCACTCCGTCATGCGGCGCACTCAGGTCTCGAACTGCTGAACTACTGACCTTCCACAGCCTGCAGTTCAGCGTCTTAACCACTTGAGCCACCGCAGCTCCTAGTGCAGTGTACAGTGGGACTATTACATCTTGAGATCTGGATGTTATATCTGTGATTCTGTGCTGGGCAGTGTTCCCTCTAAGCTGAGTTAGTGTGAGCCAGCTCTCAGTTTTTTAGCCTCCAGCTCGCACATTTTTTGTCCTGGCTCAGGAAAGATGGCTCCAGAGCAAACTCATTTGTACAGTAGGCAAATCACTCGCTCAAAACTTTAATGCCAGTGGCTCACAGAGTAGAATTTTTGCTCACAAAATTCCACAGCTTAGAAGGAGCGTTGGTGCGGGCTGGGAACGTTGGACTCGGCCTGTCTGGCTTCATGAGATCTCCAGGGACCCTCTTGTTCCTTCTCTCCGGCCCAGGTTGTCCCGGCACCAAGAAGGCCGAATTCATCTCCAACCTGATCAAAGCCTTAGCTTCGGACATGCTGCAGTCGAGGATGATGCCCGCCCCGTACCGAAGGCATGTACCGCCGGGCTGGAAACTCCCCTCTCACTGGCTCAAACGCCTTGACATTTGAGCTAGGGAATCACAGTCGTAGAGGTCTCTCTCTCTCTCTCTCTCTCTCTCTCTCTCTCTCTCTCTCTCTCTCTATCAAACGCCTTGACTTTTGAGCTAAGGAATCACAGTCATAGAGGACTCTGTGTGTCTGTGTGTGTGTGAAGCGCCGTCAAGTCATGGCCAACTTCTGGCAACCCCATTGGGTTTTCAAGGCAAGAGACGTTCGGAGGGGGCTTGCCATCGCCTGCCTCTGCGTAGCAACCCTGGACTTCCTTGGAGGTCTCCCATCTAAGTACTAACCAGGCCTTCCCCTGTAGTTACTCCCCCACTTAGCAACTGGGAGTCAGAGATCCACTGCCTCTGGAAATGGAGGTTCTGTTTAGCCACTGTGGTTCATGATCGCTGATGGACCCTGTCCTCCGTAAGTGGTGTGATCCCTTGTTAAATCTATCAGTGCCCGCTAGTGTATCACTTCAGACTGTGAGGGAGGAGGAAATCACACATTTAAAGGCTTTCCCCCATCTTTTTTGCAATTAAAAAAAATAGCACATCGGGGAGAAAAGTCCTGTTCTAGACTTTTGCTGTTCTAGTTTCCTGTTTCCAGGGAATTATGCATCCAGGGGAACTTAAAAAACAATGCGGTTCCCTCGCCTGCAGCAGCAAAGCCCATCTGCCCACCTCTGCACTCTGCTGTGTGCCAGTTTGGTGTAGCAGCGGTTATCCCCACTCCTCCACATGCCGCTGCTGGTGTGACCTTGGGTCAGTCACAAGTTCTCTCGGAGCTGTTCCCTCAAGAGCAGTCCTCGAAAGAGCTCTCTCAGCCCCGCCTACCTCCCAGGGTGTCTGTTGTGGGGAGCGGGAGAGAAAGGAGATTGTAAGCCACTCCGAGACTCCTTCAGGTAGTGAAGTGCGGGGTATAATTCCAGTCTCCTCATCCAGGGCTGTTTTTGGGCAGGAACGCACAGGAACGGAGTTCCGGCTGGCTTCAGAGTTGGCCACGCCCACTACAGCTGAAACCTCTGCGTGCGTGGCTACAGAGGGAAGGCCTGGAGAGCGACCCCCCCCCCCGGCAACTCCGAGGCGGGCGGACCAGGGGGGCCTTGGAAGGATTGAGGAGGGTTTTAAATGCCTCCCCGTGCCTTCCCCAGCCTGTCCAAGGGCCGGCTTGCCCGGGCGCCCCACAGCCGCGGGACGCCCTGGCAAGCCAAGGGAAGCTTCCCTTCAAGGGGAGCTTGCCCAAGCAAGCCAAGGGAAGGCATGGGGTGTGGCCTAATATGCTAATGAGCTTCTGCTGTTGGGTGTGGCCTGTTATGCTAATGAGTCCCTGCTGGGCTTTTTCTACAAAAAAGCCCTGTTCTCTTCTCTTCTTACCACCTCGTTCTGCTGCAGGTGTAAGCCCCTGTCCCTCATTACATCTTGTGGCAGTGAGTTCCACAAGCGAACTCACCATACTGGCACTCAGCAGCCCTGGGATTTTTGCCTGCCTCTCAGCAGGAGGGTCTGGCCCTGTGGCAGGTGGTATCCATGTTAGGCACCCCGTTCGAACAGCTGCTTCTCGCCGGCAGGTTTCCGGACCGTTTGACGGGGCGCAGCCTGGAGGAGCGGGTGGTCCGCTGGCAGTTCGTGCGCCTGGACAAGGACTTCAGCAACAGCATCAGCGAGCGCGAGCTCCGCCCCCTCAAGCTGTACATGAAGAAGCACACCCGGCCCAAGCGCTGCGTCCGCAAGTTCCTGGACTACTGTGACTTGGACGACGACCGGCTCATCTCCCTGAACGAACTCAGAGGGTGCTTAGGGCTCAGTTAACGCCAGGGTGGGTATTCTTCAGCGTCTGTGGCGGGGGTGGGGGGAATCGAGTTTCTAATCCTCTTGCGCAAGCTTCGCTCACACACACTAAATAATCCACTTTCAATCCACTTTCTATGCGGGCTAGATTTTGCCATTTCACACAGGGCACTTCTCCATTGGCTTTTCCCTTCGTTGTTTCAGCAAACCCACCTTGGAACAGAGATTCCCCCCTGCATCGCATGTCGCTTTCGTTTTCTTTGATCATTGGGTTTTATGGTCCCCTCTACACTGCATGCCGCTTTCACTGGGTGCTTTCACACATGCTAAATCAGGGGTGTCAAACATGCGGCCGGGGGGCCGGATTAGGCTCCCGGAGGGCTTCCATCAGGCCCGCAGTGGAACTGGCTGTCTTCTGCTTCTTCCAGTTCTGCTGCTGCTGCATCATTGTAGGTTTGCGGCTTACAGATACACACCTGAACAGCAGACTCAAGGTTGCAACAGCACAGACATTTTGATGCAATACTTCAGAGCAAGAGGTGTCAGTTCTCAGACACAAATGAACAAAATATCGCAAGACTGCTAATGTTTTAAGCGTGTTTTTATTTTAATTTTTAAAAACCCTTTGCGTTCGTGTCCTTTATACAGTTTATATGTCCGCTACCTGGCATTACATTTTATGACACACACGGCCGGGCCCGACAAGGTCTCATTTATGTCAGATCCGGCCCTTGTAACAAATGAGTCCGACACCCCTGTGCTAAATAATGCCATTTCAATCCACTTCGGCGACTGTTTGCAAGTGGATCTTGCCAGGGGTCGTTTCGTAGAAAAAGAGCTAGGGGAACTCATTAGCATAACTCATTAGCATTATGCCGCACCCCCTGACATCACCGGAAGTGTGTCATAAGGCCACACCCCCTGACATCACCGGAAGTGTGTCATAAGGCCACACACCCCGCCCCCAACGGTCCCGGCCGCCGCCGGCCTTGCAGCTCCACTGCCGAGCCCCATGAGGGGCCCGGCGGTGGACCTGCAAGGCCGGCAGGAGTGCAAGGAAGCCCCGCAAAGGCCCTCCCTGGCCCCAGGCAGGCAGGGGTGGGGAGAGGCAGGGAGGAAGCAACTTACCCTCCCTCTTCTCCTGCCTCCTCCTGGCTGAATGAAGGCCGGAAGCAGGGGGCAGGGCTTCGTCATGTGCCCCACCCCCCGTACCTCACCCGGGGGAACTGCGATCCCCCGCGATCCCCCTCAAAATGACCTCTGGATTTTGCCATTTCACACTGTAAAAACCAGTTGCAAAGTGCATTGAAAGTGGATCGAGAGTGCATTATTTAATGTGTGTGAAAGGGCCCACTTTCTTCGACCGTCAGGTCTTATGGGCCCTTCTGCATAGATTTATGGCCGTTCAGGGCTGACGTCTCAGTCAGTACAGCGTTGCCCCCAGGGTGTTTGAATGTAGTTTTGAGCTGCACCTTTAGTAAAACAGTGAAGGGGAATGCCAATGTGGAATTGCTCACAGTAAAACCCAGCTGGAAAGTGCACTGGAAGTGGATTGTTTAGTGTGTCCGCCTGCAGCCAATGGGAGTTTTCTGTGGGCCGCTGCCTTGGAGGGCAGAACGATGGCTAGCAACGAGCCACGCTTCGGCAAGCAGCGGAATAGGTGCTGATGGTCTAATCCCGTAGGGCAGGTGTCCCCAACAGGGTGCTCTGGGGCACCATGGCGCCCACCAGCCTCTTTCCTGGTGCTCGCCAAGTGTTTTTACAAAGCGGGCAGTGTTCCCTCTAAGCTGAGTGAGTGTGAGCTAGCTCACAGTTTTTTAGCCTCCGGCTCACACATTTTTGTCCTAGCTCAGGCAGGATGGGACTCCAGAGCAGACTAATTTATGCAGTAGTCAAATTGCCCGCTCACAACTTTAATGCCAGTAGCTCACAAAGAAGAATTTTTGCTCACAAGACTCCACAGCTTAGAGAGAACATTGAAAGCGGGTGGGGCTTTTGCCCAGCAAGTCTTCTGATTGGCCATTGGGGATCTGATTGACTGTGGAGATTTTTAAAAGCACATTTTTTGGGCAGCAGCTGCCACCGCAGCACCGCCTGACTGAAGATAAGCCTTGGGCAAGCCAGGAAATATTTTTAAACCGCATGTCCGTTTTAAAAGGCATCCTGTCAAGCTAAGCGTCCGTCTGAGACGCGGAAGAGCTTCTTCTAAGAGCTGCCCGTGGCCTCACTCCCTGAGCACTGGGGGTTGGCGCCAGTGTTCCCTCTAAGCTGAGTTAGTGTGAGCTAGCTCGCAGTTTTTTAGCCCCCCGGCTCACACATTTCTGTCTTAGGAAGGAGGGCTCCAGAGCAAACTAATTCATGCAGTAGCCAAATTGCTCACTCACAACTTTAATGCCAGTAGCTCACAAAGTAGAATTTTTGCTCACTAGATTCAACAGCTTAGAGGGAGCATTGGCTGGCGCTGCCTCCCTGCGGCAGACCTTTTTGGTTTGCGCTCACCCCCACCCAAGGTCAGAACCGACGCTCCCTCTAAGCCGTGGAGTCTCGTGAGCAAAAATTCTACTTTGTGAGCTATGGGCATTAAAGTTGTGAGTGAGCAATTTGGCTACTGCGTAAATTAGTCTGCTCTGGAGCCCTCCTTCCTAAGACAGAAATGTGTGAGCCGGAGGCTAAAAAAACAGTGAGCTGGCTCACACAAACTCAGCTTAGAGGGAACACTGGTCAGAACTCCAAAGGATGCCTGCAGGCTCACAAAGGCCGGGGACCCCTGCCATGCAGGGAGGACACCGCTATGGAACGTGCCATTGTACTTAAAAAAATACACCTTTCAAGTAGAAAAGTAGCCCATTAAGTGGGAAGATTCTAAGGTCCCGCCCCCATTCCTTGCCAAGCTGGTGTTCTATTTGCAGGCAGTTCCAAGCACGGCAGAACTTTCGAAATATGATTCCCCCTCCCGTTTTCGGTCCGAAGCAGCGTGATCCCTGTCACCACCAATGTTCCCTCTAAGCCGTGAAGTCTTGTGAGCAAAAAATCCTACTTTGTGAGCTACTGGCATTAAAGTGGTGAGCGAGCAATTTGGCTACTGCGTAAATTAGTTTGCTCTGGAGCCCTCCTTCCTGGGCGAAGACAGAAATGCGTGAGCTAGAGTCTAAAAGACTGTGAGCTAGCTCACTCTAACTCAGCTTAGAGGGAACACTTGTCACCACTTCAGTCTGCTGCATGCATAGACCTGACCAGTACCTTCCCCTGCATGCCTGGATATTGGGGAGGGGGTGTGCTATGTCACTGTAAGGGTGTAGAAGTGTTATCTCCTTGAATAGATGCAAGTTGACCTTTTTTGGCCATAAGAACATAAGAAAAGCCAATGTTGGATCAGGCCACTGGCCCATCCAGTCCAACACTCTGTCACACAGTGGCCAAAAATACCAGGTGCCATCAGGAGGTCCAGCAGTGGGGCCAGAACACTGGAAGCCCTCCCACTGTCCCCCCCCCCCCGAAGCACCAAGAAGACAGAGCATCACTTGCTCCAGACTGAGTCCCTATCTATACCTTGTGGCTAATAGCCACCAATGGACCTCTGCTCCGTATGCTTATCTAATCCCCTCTTGAAGCCATCCATTCTTGTAGCTGCCACCACATCCTGTGGCAGTGAATTCCATGTGTTCATCACTCTTTTGGTGAAGAAGGACTTCCTTTTATCTGTTCTCACCCGACTGCTCAGCAATTTCATAGAGTGCGCACAAGTTCTTGTATTATGAGAAAAGGACTTCTTTCTCAACCTGCTCTGTCCCATGCGTAATCTTATAAACCTCGATCATGTCACCCCTCAGCCTTCGTTTCTCCAAGGTAAAGAGCCCCAAGCGTTTTAACCTTTCTTCACAGGGAAAGCGTTCCAACCCTTTTATCATTCTAGTTTTCTGCACTTTTTCCAATGCTATAATATCCTTTCTGAGGTGTGGTGACCAGAACTGTGCACAGTACTCCAGAGGAGCTCGCACCATCGATTTATACAGGGGCATGATGATACTGGCTGATTTGTTTTCAATTCCCTTCCTACTAATCCCCAGCAGGGGTCTTTTCGCCCCGGAGCCCTCTGGAGCGCCGCTCCGGCAGCCCGCGTGGCATACTGTATGCTAATGAGCTCCTGCAGCTTTTTTTCTACAAAAAGACCCCTGATTCCCCAGCATAGCGTTGGCCTTTTTTACTGCAGTTGCACATTGTCTAGACATTTTCATTGAGTTATCTACGACTCCAAGATATCTCTCTCTGTGCCAGTTCGGACCCCATCAACGTGTATTTATAGTTACGGTTTTTGGCTCCAGTGTGCATCACTTTGTACTTGGCCACGTTGAACCCCATTTGCCATGTTGACACCCACTCGCCCATCCTTGACAGATCCCTTTGGAGTGCCTCACAATCCTCCCTGGTTCTCACCACTCTGAACAACTTCATGTCATCTGCAAATTTAGCCACTTCACTGCTTACTCCCAACTCCAAGTCATATACTTCTTGGGAGATTTATTTTTGGCTGAGCAAACTCTGCTATGCTAACCAGATATCCCAGTACTTCGCCCCAGTCTCCACACTGAATCTCTAGCCTGTGCAGGCCCAACTGTGCCCGGCTGTACCCCTCAACTGCAGGACCAAGCGTCCCAGCTCTGGCTTCCTGTCTTGGGAGTACATTGTCTTCTGTTGCCCCTCTCCCCTGCCTTTGAGAGCCAGTTTGGTGTAGTGGTTAAGTGCACGGACTCCAATCTGGGAGAACTGGGTTTGATTCCCCACTCCTCCGTTCGCAGCTGCTGGATGACCTCAGGCAAGCCATAGTTCTGTCAGAGCTGTTCTCACAAGGAAAGTTCTGGAAAGAGCTCTCTCAGCCCCACCTACCTCACAGGGTGTCTGTTGTGGGGAGGGGAAGGGAAAGCCGCTCTGAGACTCTGAGTGAAGGGCGGGGTATAAATCCAGACTCCTCCTCCTCTTCCTCTTCGGTCACTTGCCGTCTTGCTGGCTGCTGGGAAATGCCCTGGGAAAGGGCCTGACACATACCTGGAACCAAGTGTCCCGTGAATCGCGGTCCCCGCTTCCTTTGGCTTGTAACTAACTCTAGTGCTCACGTCTCTCTGGCTCAGCTTCTGCCCCAGACAAAAGGGGTTTCTGTGCTTTAACTTGAGGTGGATTAAAAGTGTATTACCTTCGTGGGACACAGCTTGCCTACAAAGAGGCTGAATCAACATCTCTCTTCTTGGGGAAATTAGCGTAGGGCGGGGGGTAACTCGAAACCCTCTTTTCTTTCCACCAAAATTGATTTCGGTTTTGGGAGTTACGTGGGGAGGAAACTCAAAACTACCTTTCCCCCCGAGTAAAGACTAATTTTTTTTTGTTGCACAAGGTAATCGTTCGAGATGGGTTTTTAATTTTCTGTTGGGTTTAATTCTGTTTTGGCTTTCCTGTGTTCTTTTGCACCCTCTCCCCCTTTCAATTTAATCATTCGCACAATAGCTGAAATTACTGGTGACCAATGCAATAACAAAACCTTCCATTCCCATGGAGGGAGGGCAACGTACCTTCCCAGGGTGGGGGAATGAAATTGTGGGGAGTGAGAGGGATGGGGGTGGGGGGGTTGTGTGACCACTAATTCCTCAGATGTCCAGCTTACTTTTTCAAAAGAGAAAACCTTGGTTAGCTCTTTCATTGACGGAGAGTAAGGCAGAACAGGGCACTTTCAGGGGTTCCAGGTCCCCCCTCTGACAGGGGATGGGGGGTTACAGTTGCCGGATCTGGGTTGGGAAACCGCTGGAGATTTGCGGAAGAAGCCTGGGGTGGACAGGGACCTCACTGGGGTACAAGCCAAGGCCATAGAGTCCACCCTCCAAAGCATCCATTTTCTCCATGGGAAACTGCGCCGCACGCACGTCACCCGGAAGTGATGGGAGGACGCCAGGCACGCTGGGGGCGGGGCCACGGCCATACAAGGGAAAATCATCGCGTTTTCCCTTGAATGGCTGTGGCCATATGCTAATGAGTTATGCTAATGAGTCCCCCTAGCTCTTTTTCTACGAAACGACCCCTGGCGGGTTCCCAGAAAGGGTTCAGTGGGCGCCCTGTTGGGGACCCTTGCCCTAGCCTGTTGGTCACCGACAGTGAGCTGGATCCTGCCTCTATCCTACCACTCCATTGAGTTATGTTTATTTATTTATTAAAATATTTATATGCCACCTTTTCCTTTTGGCTCAAGTCTGGAGGCTTCCTCCAATCTATGAAGTTCTTCAGTTGGAGGAAGACCCATAGATGTTGGAGGCAGGTTCCTTGGGCTACTTGGAGCAATTCCGCAGGGCCGTGAAAACGGAGCTTTTTCACTGGGCGTTTCAGTAGGAAAGACCCTATATCGGCTGTGCTGCACTTGCACTTTATTATACGACACCCCCACATTTAAATGGGTTTAACTGTATTTATTTAATCGGAAATGAGCTGAGCTATTTTATTGAGTTGTATTTTATGTATGTATTTATGCTGGTTTTATAAGCCGCTTCGGCAGGAGGGCAGGATAGAAATCTAACGAATAAATAAATAAATAAAATAGTTGGCTCCATTAACATCCATTTGCGGCCAGAAAGACAAAACCACAACCACTGGTAAAGTTTCTCTCTCTGGTTCACCTACATGTGATTTTCATTCGCCGCAGGTGAGTGGACAGTTAGAAGCTGGGCCTAATTATTATATCTCTTTTTGTTTCTTTCTTCAGGCTTCCCAAGCCAGATGAAAACGAAGAAATGGCGCTTTCCCTCCTCCGAAACCCCAGGGGGCGCTCTCTCTTTCTCTGAGCACTGCATTCTCACTTTTGATTGCAGACTCTTTGCACTTTAAAGAGACAGACTGGACTTTTCTGCCAAGACGGTTGACGATGGGTGGAATTTGGCCATCGGTGCAGGGGCAGGTGGCACGTGGGCAGTTGCCGGTTGACCTTCGACTTTTCCTCTTTTTTCGCTCAAAAAAACACAACAACAACGTAGATCAGAAAGGCCTGAATCCATGAGCTACCTTTACAGATATTTTTTAAAAAATAATATTTTAATCTTCGCTTTATTTTTACTGTGTAATTTTTAAGGGGGGGACGCAAAATAATGAATGTAAAGGGACTTTCTTGTTAGAGGGTTTGTAAAAAAGTGGTATTAATCTCCCTGCGCAAAAACAAGTTGGATTATAAAATGATTTGTAGTCTGTATTTTAAAATTAATAAATTATATACTAAGGTAGGTCTCTCTGTCTCTCTCTTTAAGAGGAAGTTTACTTTCTTTGATGGCACCAGAGCCAGTTCGGTGTCGTGGTTAGGAGCACAGACTGTAATCCCGGGAGAACCAGGTTTGATTCCCCCACTCCTCCACATGCAGCTGCTGGTGTGACCTTGGGTCAGTCACAAGCTCTGTCAGAACTGTTCTCTCAGGAGCAGTTCTCTCACTCAGCCTCACCTACCTCACAAGGTATCTGTTGTGGGGAGGGGAAGGGAAAGGAGATTGTAAGGCGCTCTGAGACTGCGAGTGAAGGGCGGGGTATAAAATCCAATCTCCTCCTCCTCTTCATCTTCTCCTCCTTCTCCAGAACCTGTTTTTTATCTTCTGGGATATGTAGAGTGATTTCAGAGTGTCTCTGAGCACGTGCAGAGTACCAAGGCCTTGCGATTAGATAACCAGAACTAGCCAATTGTACATGGAATTTTGATGAGTTCAACTTTCACGGAAGGGCTTAACCTTTGATGCCTTTCACGTTAGGACTTTTTTGTTTTGTAGAACTGTTCCAATGTAAAGGATCTAGTCCAGGGGTGTCGAACTCATTTGTTATGAGTGCCGGATCTGACATAAACGAGACCTTGTTGGGCCGGGACATGTGTGTCATAAAATGTAATACCAGGTAGAGGAGATATAAACTTTATAAAGGACACAAACACAAAGGTTTTTTTTTAACTTAAAAAACACTTAAAACATTAGCACTCTTGCAATATTTTGTTTATTTGACAATGTTTCATAACTGACACCTCTTGCTCTGAATTATTGCATCAAAATGTCTGTGCTGTTGCAATCTTGAGTATGCTGTTCAGGTGTGTATCTGTAAGCTGCAAACCTACGATGACATAGCAGCAGCAGAACTGGAAGATAGAAGAAGAAGAAGAGATTGGATTTATACCCCGCCCTTCACTCGGAGTCTCAGAGCAGCTTACAATCTCCTTTCCTTTCCCCTCTCCACAACAGACACCCTGTGACAGTAGGTGGAGCTGAGAGAGCTCTCTTGAGGACTGAGAAGAAGAGAAGATTTATACCCCGCCCTTCACTACCCAAAGGAGTCTCAGAGCGGCTTACAAACTCCTTCCCCTTCCCACAACAGACACCCTGTGAGGTAGGTGGGGCTGAGAGAGCTCTTGACAGAAACTGCTCTTTTTCAAGGACAGCTCTTATCAGAGCTATGGCTTGCCCAAGGCCATCCAGCCAGGTGCAAGTGGAGGAGTGGGGAATCAAACCCAGTTCTCCCAGATTAGAGTCCGCGCACTTAACCACGACACTCAAACGGGGAGGCTGGAAACTCCAGGAAGGAGATACGTGGGTGGTACAATCTATCAGTGAGCTTGGAGATCCTGGCTGTAACTGTACCCAGCAAGGGGGGAGACGGGGGGGGGGAGGGAGAGGAAGGATGCGGTTGCTGGGCTGAATCATGCCACCACAAGCGACTGGCTGGCACCACGGAGTCCTTTGCAACAGGAAAAGAGCAAATCTGCTCTGGGTGGCCCAGACCATCGCATTAGGAGGAAGAAGAATCTCGGCTGCCCCAGCTTGGAGGAAACGGAGATCACAGAAGCACAGGGAAAGGGGAGGTTGGCGGAAGAGAAGGGGAGGAATTCCGTTACAGGAATTATAAAAATCATCTACAGAGTGGCCACTCACGTCTAGTTCTCTTCCAATTAGTGTACGAAGTCTGCAGGCTTGTAACTGATTCAGTTAACGAGCTTCATCTGTTTTGATAATAGCGCAGTAGCCGATTTCTCCAAGGTCCAGTTCATTCATGCCGTCGTATTCCCCATGACTATGTATGGGGGCGAAGGTTGGACGGTGGAGAAAGCGGACAGGAAGAAAGCGGATTCCTTTGGAACCGTTTCGACGAAAAGTGGTGTTGGAAGAGAATTTCACCCGTACTGAGGACCACCGAAAAGGCAAATCAGAGAACCGGTTTGGTGCTGTGGTTGCGGAGGACTCGAATCTGGAGAACTGGGTTTGATTGCCCGCTCCTCCACATGCAGCCAGCTGGGTGACCTTGGGTCAGTAACAAGTTCTCCCAGAGCTGTCCCCTTGAGCAGTTCTCTCAGAGCACTCTCAGCCCCACCTGCCTCACAGGGTATCTGTTGTGGGGAAGGGAAGGGAGATTGTAAGCCACTCTGAGACGCCGAGTGAAAGGCGCGGTATAAATCCCAACTACTACTACTATTCTTCTTCTTCCTCTTCTTCTTCTGTAGGTTCTAGATCAAATCAAGCCTGAGTTCTCCCTAGAAGCTAAAATGACCAAACTGAGACTATCGTACTTGGGCCCCATCATGAGAAGACAAGAGTCACTGGAAAAGACAACAATGCTAGGAAAAGTTGAAGGTGGCAGGAAGAACAGGAGATGGATGGACTCCATCAAGGAAGCCACAACCACCAGTTATACCCAGAATTAAAGGTGCCACTGGACTCCAACTTTTTAAAATATAAATTTCCTATTTATGTAGATCTGTTTGTGGAAAGGGTGTTTACCCTTTTAGGGACGTTGAGAGACTAGCGCCCCGGCTGCCTCACCTTCCTCTGCGAAACACGCCTGTTTATTCCCTCGTTCCAGACACTTTGTCACTGGAGCTGATGCTGGGTCGCCATCAGTCGGAAGCGGCTTGACGGCACCTAACAAGCACACACATTTTTTCAACTCCCCGTCGTGACTGTCTCAGCCATTAAAAAGTTGGCGAATATTCCGTGACACCCAAACTGCTCACATAGGTGTAGTGAGGACGTTGGGGGGGGGGGTGGAGAGGGTTAGGGCTTGCACATTATAGTCAGATGTTGGTCTTTTAGACTGTATACAAAATCCAGCTGATTCTAGAGGGCCTTTTGCAGTCAAAAATGCTTGATGACCTTCATTCTGTATGTTCATGGAGGCAATATGGGGGAGGGAGAGAAAGTTTGATTTGCTCATGGCTCCCTGGTAGGTTGCCAGCAGAAGAAATTATTTTTGCCTTTTTAAGGAACAAACGCCAGGGATGGGGGGAAGGTGGCAATGTTGCTACCGAGGGTGAACAGGGTATCGACCAGGTCTTTTGTGTCCAAACTGAACACACTCTGGTAGAAACAGGCGGTTCCCATTTAGCAGGCTGCAAACTCTAAGCCCGCCAAAGAGGCTAGCGTTACCAGCTCCAGGTTGGGAAATACCTGGGGGTGGAGCCTAAGGAGGGCGGGATTTGGGGAAGGCAAGGACTTTAGTGGGGTACAATGGCATAGAAGAGGGGTGTCAAACTCATTTGTTACGAGGGCCGGATCGGACATAAAAGAGACCTTGTCGGGCCGGGCCATGCATGTCATAAAAGGTAATGCCAGGTAGCGGAGATATAAACTTTATAAAGGACACAGACACAAAGGGGTGTTTTTTTAACTTAAAATAAGAACATGCTTAAAACATTAGCACTCTTGCAATATTGTGTTTATTTAACAGTGTTTGATAACTGACACTTCTTGCTCTGAACTATTGCAATCAAAATGTCTGTGCTGTTGCAGTCTTGAGTATGCTGTTCAGGTGTGTATCTGTAAGCCACAAATCTACGATGACGCAGCAACAGCGGAAGAAGAAGCAGAAGACAGCCAGTTCCTCTGGGGGCCTGCTAGAAGCCCTTCGGGGGACTGATCCGGCCCCCCAGCCGCATGTTTGACACCCCGGCATAGAATCCACCTTCCAAAGTGGCCCCTTTCTTCAGGTGACTTGTCGCCTGGATATCAATTGCGATCCCAGGAGATCTCCAGCTGGCGACCCTAAAAGAGGTGTGTATAAGATTCCCCACGTTTCATTCTGCTGACGCTTTTCATAAGGACGGGGATAACAGAAATTCTACTGGGGACCATTGTCCCCTCTAAACTGAGTTAGCGTGAGCTAGCTCACAGTTTTTTAGCCTCCGGCTCACACATTTTTGTCTTTGCTCAGGGAGGAGGGCGCCAGAGCAAACGAACTGATGCAGTAGCCAAATCGCTCGCTCACAATTTTACAGCCGGTAGCTCACAAGGTAGAATTTTTGCTCATGAGACTCCACAGCTTAGAGGGAGCATTGCTAGGGATATCATTTTTTTTTGTGCCATCACTACACTGCTGTGCTAATGGCAGCTGCATCTGTTGAACTTCTGCCTATCGTATAGCAACGAACGAAAGAAACACAGTGCTGCTGAAACCGAGAAAACAAAACGCACTGTGAAAAAGCAATTTCTAACAATTGTATATAAATAAGGACCTACACAAACTGATGTCTCTGATCATTATTTTAAAGTTAAATACAATATTATAATAGAAGGAAACTTTATAAAGTGGAACTTTGAACATATACGTGTACAACACGTCTTATGAAATAAATCTTAAGATATATATGCGTACCACGTCAAAAGGAGCTGCGGTGGCTCAAGTGGTTAAGACGCTGAACTGCAGGCTGTGGAAGATCGGTAGTTCGGCAGTTCGAGACCCGAGTGCCGCGTGACGGAGTGAGCTCCCCTCTCTGGTCCCAGCTCCTAGCAGTTCGAAAGCAAGAAATTACAAGTAGATAAATACGTACCGCTTCAGTGGGAAGGTAACAGTGTTCCATGCGCCTCAGCGTCTAGTCACGCCGGCCACATGACCATGGAAACATCTTCGGACAGTGCTGGCTCTTCAGCTTGGAAACGGAGATGAACACCGCAACCCTAGAGTTGGATTCGACTGGCTTTCGAGCAAGGGAAACCTTTACCTTACCATGTCAAAGGACAAAAGACAAGCCACAACAAAATGAAAAAAAGAGAACACAAGTCAAATAAGGTTGCTTAACATCATACAACACAACCCGAAAGAAAAGTTCAGGCACGGAGATGACTTGGTTTTTTGTGCTTTTGGCAAGCAATGATTTAAACAGCAGGTGTAGTAATATCTTTCTGTGGGTG